TTTTGCTGTGTTAGCCAGGATGGTCTCAATCTCCTGACCTCATGATCTGCCCGCCTAGGCCTCCCAAAGTGCTGGGATTACAGGCGTGAGCTGTGAGCCACCGCACTCAGCCGGAAGTTTAAGTTTTCAATAATTAGATTTTATCATTGTTAGCATCTGATAAAGTTTTTGCTGAAAAAATTCAGGCTGGCTATTATAGCTAAATGAATTTAAGTATATATATGCTAATATCAAGGTATTCTATAATGGTTTTTAGAAGTCCCAATCCTTTGATTAAAATGTGAATAAAGGGCTGGGCACATTGACTCACATCTGTAATCCTAGCGCTTTGCAAGGCAGGAGGATTGCCTGAGCTCAAAATTTCAAGATCAGCCTGGACAATAGAGCAAGGCTTTGTGTCTACAAAAAATTTTTAAAAATTAGTTATGGGTGGTGTCATGAGTCTGCAGTCCTAGCTACTCAGGAGGCTGAGGCAAGAGGATCACTTGAGCCCAGGATTTCCAAGCAGCAGTGAGCCATAACTATACTATCGCACTCCAGCCTGGGCAACAGAGCAAGACTTTGTCTCTAGAAGAAAACAAATAAACCATGCCAACACCTAATAATGTTGATTTTTAAATGTCAAATATTAAACAACATTTTGATGAATTTCCTTAAAATACCTAGCCAATCAGATAAGCATTTACACTATATAATCTATCATAAACTATAGCATTAAATATTTTTCTCTAGTAGTTTCAGAAATTTTACTAATCAACATTATAAAAAATTTCAACTTTGAGATGGAAAAAAAAATAAAACTGGGTTTTTTGGTTTGTTTAAGACAAGGTCTCACTCTGTCACCCAGGCCAGAGTGCAGTGGTGCAGTGATGGCTCACTGCTGCCTAGAAATCCTGGACTCAAGCAATCTTCCCACTGCAGCCTCCCAAGTAGCTGGGACTACATGAGTGCGTCATCATGCCTGGCTAATTTTTTTTAATTTTTTTGTAGAGATGGGGTCTCACTATGTTGCCCAGGCTGGTTTTGAAGTCCTGAGCTCAAGCAATCCTCCTACCTCAGCTTCCCAAAGTGCTGGAATTACAGGTGTGAGCCACTATACCAGCCAAACTAGACTATTAATGGCTCCTTTTGTCCCTGAGGAGGTACTATTTAATACATTACAAAAGCCCAAGTAACAAGGTCTAATCACATCGTGACCAGATAAAGTGGACTTGTACTACATCTGAAGCTATCATTCTTGTTTCCAAACATATGTTCAATAATCGCTTTCAGGGACATGAAGGTAAATTATTAAAATGAGAGTATTTAGCCCAATACATCATCGATCTACTAATACTTCTGCAATCCAAAAAAGTACTGATTTGTGATATGTCAACAACATTAAAGCACACCCATGAAGACAGGTCTACTAGTGTTTCTAGGACACTGGTAAGAGGACTCCATGTATACTCATGGAGTTATGGCCAATTAAAGAGGGGATTAGGTGGCCAGGTAAGGTGGCTCATGCCTGTAATCCCAGCACTTTGGGAGGCCGAGGCAGGCAATCACAAGGTCAGGAGTTCGAGACCAGCCTGGCCAACATGGTGAAACCCCGTCTCTACTAAAGATACAAAAAAACTTAACTGGGTATGGCTGCGCATGCCTATAATCCCAGCTACTCAGGAGGTTAAGGGAGGATAATCACTTGAACCCAGGAGGTGGAGATTGCAGTGAGCCGAGATTGTGTCATTGCACTCTAGCCTGGGCAACAGGGCAAGACGCTCTCTCAAAAATAAAAAAATAAATACACACACACACACACACACACACACACACACTATAATTGGACAGAAGCTGAAAAAACAACTGTTGTATCTTATTTATCATAATAAGATGACAAACAATTACTGTTTTTGAAGATATGGGATCACAGGTACTTGGTAGATATTTTTAGCACTTGTACTTGAGACTGCAAAATAAAAGTCTTATGGAATACATAAAATCACTTAGTGAAAGGATACTCACATGGTCTATAAGTATCACCCCATAGATAACATGCTTTTGCAATAAAGATCTGAAATACTGTATCTAAACCAAGTGAGCAAAACTTAGCATCTCTAAGAATGGAAAAATCAGACATCATGTGGCTCTTGGTGTGATGAAACGGAAAATTTACAACTTAACCTACATAAAAAGCTTCCCTAATGTATTAAACCTAAGTGATGAAGAAATAATCAAACAAATCTAGATTGCAGGTATTCTATGAGAAAACTAGGACCCACTTTTCAAAAATGTCAGTGCTAGATTAGAAATAATTAAAGAAACACAATAATCAAAAGCAATTTGTTAACTCTGGCTGTTGACAAAAACAAAGTGGCAATAAAGAACATATCGGGAACACTGGAGAAATCTCAATACAAACAGTATATGAGGTTATATTAGTGTATCAATGTTGAATTTCTTGGGTATGAAAATTTCATGGTCTTGTGATCATGACGAAAATGCCCATGTTCTTAGAAAAATATGTTCAACTATTTAGATGTAAGGTGTCATTATGTCTGGATCTTATTTTCAAATTGTACAGAGCAAAAGATGTGTATTTGCATACTCATAAAATGGTAACTGGAGAATCCAGGTGAAGGATAAATGAGTATTCATTGTACTAGTCTTTCTACAGGTTTGAAATTTTTCAAAATATAAAATTGAACACAAAAACTTCAGTGTATTGTCGGAAAAAACTGAAGAGAGAGAGCCTTAAGATTTAACCTTAACTTCAGAATAAGAAGACAAGCATAGAAGTATGAGTTCTTAATACATACTCTTTTCTCCTCGTGGCTAATGAAAGCCTTATTTTCCTCTAATGTTTTATTTAGATCTTCATCAATAAGTTTAGTTTCCACATTTTGAGTTTCTTCAGAGTTTTCTAGCTCCTCAACTAAATCCTCGTCTTCCATCAAATCTTCCAGACTATTTTCCCATGAAATGGTGGCTCTTTTTACATTTAGTATTTTATTATTTGAATTATTGTCTAGTGATACATCTTGAGAAGATCTGACAGGTCCAAATAATTTCTCTTGAGAGGAATTTAAAGTGTCTGGGACACAAACCTGTTAAAATATTCAATGTGACTTTTAAAACAGAAAAGACAAGAACTGTCCACTAGAAAATGATTATTTTATAAATTTAAGTCAAATGAAAACTCAAGTGTTAAAGGAAAAACTATTCAAACAAACATACAAACAGGAATCACCATCCCTAAATGAACATTCTGATAGGAAAAAAGCTACTTACACATGCAAACTAGAGGAAAAAATCTATCTTCCTGGGCTAAGTTCTCAGTATTAATCTTAGTAGAGGGTTTTCTAATTACCCAGAAGTACCAAATGAACAAGATGAATGGCAGAGCAGACAATTCATTCCAAAAATACTCATTAATTTGTAATTGATGTTTATTATTAACTCTTATTACTAAAGGTCATTTTAATCCTAGCATGGGCAACTTTCAATCCTTTCTCATGTCTTCCTACTTGGTCAAATATTTACCTTTTTAATTTTCAATTATTTCCTAGGCTTACAGTATTAAGTACAACATATTTATTTCAAGAAAAAGTATTAATATTCTAAGAAGAAGCTTAATAAAATAAATATTTACTTTTTGTGCAATGGCTGAGAACTTCAATACATTGAGTGTTTCATCATAGGCTAAATAACATTGGCTGATGTTGACAATCATACATATTTTCCCTTTACCATTAAAAAAACTTTGAAAATAGTGAGTCAGTTTACTTTCCCGGAAAGGCACATGCTGTTGAAACCTATGGAAAAAATTTTCAGAAAACACTGTAAGTTAAAATACATCTCATGAAGTCGGGGTGCTGACAAATTTTACAAAGAAATAATTAAGCCACCTATCATGAAATTAAACTTTAGGGTAGTGATTAGTTCCAGATGTAATAGTCCTTCTCAGTTTTCATTTTATCTTTTCTTGCTTGTTTTTGTTTTTGTTTTGAGACAGGGTCCAGCTCGGTTGCCCAGACTGGAGTACAGTGGCACTCACAACTTACTGCAGCCTCAATCTCTTAGGCTCAAGCGATCCTCTCGCCTCTGCCTCCAGGTTAGCAGGGATTATGGGCTCTTGCCACCACATCTGGTTAATTTTTTATTTTTATTTTTAGTAGAGATGAGGCTGGTCTTAAACTGCCGGGCTCAAGCAATCCTCCTGCCTTGGCCTCCAGAAGTGCCGGGATTACAGGCATAAGCCACCATGCCTGGCTATTTGTTTTAACTGCTGCTACTTACTAACAATAATTCACTATGTAAAATATAAAGAAAACCACATTTAACTGGGTTATGTTCTCTAGTATAGAGCAAGTATATAAGAGATGTCATGAAATACCCTAAGTAGAAATGGTGAAGGCTGATTTATATTTACTCAACCTAAAATGCTAATTAATACAAAAATCTATTGCATCTAGAACCACACACAATGCACTAATAAGAAAAAGGTGGTTTTAGATCCTAAACCAGCATTAGAAGCTTCTCATTTACAGTGTCTATTGGTACAGATTTGCCATAGAAAATACTGACTTTACTTGATGAGTTACTGGCATCAACTGACACTTCTATCATTGTCTTTAATCCAAGATCTCTTAAGCACTTGAATCACAATCTATACACAGTCATTACATAAGAAGCAGGTTAAAAATCAAAAAAGAACTTTCTAAAAACAAAAAATTTGAAAGTTTAAATACTGTAATATTTAATAAGCTAATAACACTTTCAGAAACTTACTTTGACTTTTCACTATTCTTCAAGACGTTAATACACTTTCCCAGAGTCAATAAAGAAGTGTTGATATTCCCAGTCTCTCTTAACCTTTCACCTTCATTCTGTGTCTTCATAGTTCGTTCTGAACCAGCAAGATCACATAAAGATAATCTGAATTAAGAAAAGAAAAATTACTTTAGAAGTTCTTCAAAACAATTACAAATAATTACAATTTAAAGAATATTCAACTTACTCACTGACTCGAATTACACGAGACATTTCAGAATCTTCAATCTGTAATATTTTAATAGTGAATATGCTGTGACTGAAATACAAAGATCAAATGTTATCATTTTAATTTCTGCATTCTAAATAGGAGAGACAAGTATTCAAATCAACCTTATTTATACCCTAGTATTAACTACAGTCCACCATTGCATTTTCCAATTAGCTGTTAGATATTTCAACCCAGTGTTCTACTGTCACTTATATACCCAAATGCCTAAAATCACCTTTTGCCTAGCTCTAAATCCCTCAAATTACCTCCTGACAGTTCAACTTCTACTAACAGTATCATTTATAACAAAGTTACAATTTGTTTGAAAAGATAGTATTAGTTAATACGGTATTATATATAGCTAATACTCTGAATACACACGAAAGCAAAGCATACATTTGACCTATAGATCCAGATCTTGTATTGTCCCATGCCCAACTGACTATGGGAACAGGGCTCCTTCTCTCTTAAGAAAAAGCCTGCTTTAATTATCTCACTGCTTAAACTTATTTCCTTTGCCTCTCATCCCCCAAACCTATCAAAACATATTTCCTTAACCCCTTGAGATTATACCCTCACTGAGTATATTTATATAGTATTCAGGGGATAAGTGAGAAAGACCCAGAGAAAAGGCCACCATTATTACCAACTCCAAAAATACTGAGCTTAGATACTGACATAAAGAAAAAAGAAAAAGTAACAATACCTCAGAGACTTCCTATAAATTAATAAACCTGTCAGGACAGGAAACAGTATTGATAAACGTGTTTAGTGTTATTCTGTTTACCAAATGTTTTTTATGCCTTATAAATTTATTTAACAGACGAGAACCTACTGCCCACTTTAATGTAAAATTAGTTGTGTTTAAATTAGCATAGAATACCATACCATTGGTGATTCAAGTTTATTCTTACAGAGTTTATTCTTTACCTCCTACTGGAAGCATTATTCAATTTTGTGAAGGCAACACTCTGGTGCTTTATTCCTAGTTTTAAAAGTCTATAGGCTTCTTTGGAATCAGATACTTGAATCCATTGTAGATCTTTAAAAAATAAAGAGGATATATATTAATTCATTGAGACAAAGAATGTGCTCTACAATGCAATCTCTTTGGAAGTCTTTTCCTAGTGACATATAATGAAATCTTCCTTCTGACAACACATCCTAGCTGGAGTCAACTCAGTTATTTCAGGTTACACCAGAGGGGAAGATTATAACAATGTTCAATGTAATTTAAATTACACAAACACACAAAGTAAATGTTTGTCAACAGAGTCTGCCAAACGGAAAATTAAATACAGTAACAATTCCTTAGAATTTGACACTCAGGGAAAAAAAGAGAGGCAAAATACAGTACAGACTAAACCTGTAAAATTACCTAGTTATTAAACACTGAAGATTGTAATTTATTAGTGAATCATAAAATCAGATTTATTGAATAATGACCAGTATTTTAATTGTTTTTTATTTTTTATTTTTTATTTTTGGAGACAGGGTCTCACTCTGTGGCCCAGCCTGGAGTGCAAAAGTGTGACCATGGCTCTCTACAGCCTTGACCTCCTAGGCTCAAGTGATCCTCCTGCCTCAGCCTCCTGAGTAGATGGGACTAAAGATGCATACCACCATGCCAGGCTAATTTTTGTATTTTTTGTAGAGATGGCGTTTTGCCATGTTGCCCAAGCTGGTCTCGAATTCCTGAGCTCAAGTGATCCACCCACCTCAGCCTCCCAAAGTGCTGGGATCACAAGTGTGAGCCACTGCATCTGGCCAGCATTTTATAGAAATGACAAAGAATATAGAAAATATCACAGTGCATTCCTTGTAGTAGAAGTATAATTAAGGAAATTTTTCGTTGTAAATATTACATATGTATATATATACATGCATGTAGGTACTGAGTCATGATGTTATTAATATGTATTTCCTACTGTGAATTGTTTTAAAAGATTAGAAAAAACACTCTGGAAGGATAGTAACATTTCATAGCTGCAAAATTTGGACACTGTTACAAAGTAGGAGAATAACGTGAATATAATCATACATAGCTTTTCCCATCACCACAAATTCAATTAATGATACTCAAGCAAATACAATACCAAAATAGACCCCTTTATATTCAAGTTTAATAAATACACCAAAACATACTTCCAAAACACAAAATTATCTTCTTCTCTTAATGTTAATAATTAGCATTACAATTTTCAATTTTCTATTTGCTTTAGTCTTACAGCTAGCACAAAGCCCAAGGAGAGAACTTCGGAACAATAAAATAAAAATACTCAGAGTATACCTTTTATAAAAGAATAGCCCTTTACATCTTGGGAAAGGCGCAGCATCTTTCTCTTTTGGAATTTAGATGATACAGGAACAAACAAGTCATAAATATATTCATTGTAAATTTCAAAGAAAGAAACCCACACAGAAAATTTTATATTATTAGCCATATTCAAGCTGGCTTGTTCACAATCTTTTATGGATTCTTCAAACTCTGAGATATTCAAAGAGTTAGTTAAACTTCCTACAAAAAAAAAAAAAAAAGAAAAAACAATAATCACAAAAGTAAGCAACTGACTAAAAATGTGACAAAAGTACAGATCGATTCCCAGACTTGAAAAACCAAGTATGCTTAATCTTTTGACCATCTATGTTAAACACTTTTTGGAACAAAGGAAGATGTAAATAATATTTGGAGTAACCAGAATTAGACTACTCCCTATCATTCCTTTCTTTTTCAAAATATGTTAATGAACCAACAGAAATTAAATGTAAAGGACAAAGAAAAACAAAACTGTCTTTCAAATTCAATATTAAAGTTGTAACCAGTAAAAGGGGTATCTGTAATATTTAATACAAACAAAACATTACAATGACTGACATTTCATATAAATATGTATCATTTTCCAGGTATTACCGACTATGTCATTACAGAAAGTAAATCCTTAGTAACCAAAGAAGAGGTCTATAGAAAAAAAATAAACACAATGTATAAACAATTTTTTTTTTTTTTTTTTTGAGACAGAGTCTCACTCTGTCCTCAGGCTGGAGTGCAGTGGCGCAATCTCGGCTCACTGCAACCTCCACCCTCTGAGTTCAAGTATTCTCCTGCTTCAGCCTTCCGGGTAGCTAGGACTACAGGCCCACGCCACCATGCCCAACCAATTTTTTTATTTTTACTAGAGACGGGGTTTCACCATGTTGGCCAGGACCTCATGATCCACCCGCCTTGGCCTCCCGAAGTGCTGGGATTACAGGCGTGAGCCACTACGCCTGGCCTAAAAATTTTTTAATAATAAAAATAAAACATTAGAAGTGATTTAAAAATTAAAAGCTTTTCAAATGTACTTCATATAATCAATATATCAAAGATAGGTGAGCAATGAAACCTTACCATAAAGAGTATCATCACCGTCATTATGCATAGTAACCTAAAATAGAAAGATTGTTTTAAAAGAATTTTAAAAAATTTTCATTAAGTTTAAATAATCAAGATATTAATTACCTATCCAAATAAGTCACTACCAAATCACAACCTTTCATCCACCCAATTCAATGAATTCTTTAATTTTTCCCAGTTAAATAATATAGTTTCACGGGAAAATACAGAGAACTATGAAAAATATTATCATGTATAATCCCTGCCACTCTGGTTGGTTACTATTAATATTTTAATATATTCCCCTTCTATGGTTTTCCCCACACTTATGTTGTAAGCTTTTTCTCCTTATAATTAAAAATTGTTTACAACAGTTGATGGCTATATAACTCATGTGAAATGACTTAATTATTCCCTTATTATTAAACATTTAAATTATTCAAGTTTTGCCAAATATCTTTCTGTATTTTCTTCTGCATTCTAATTATTTCCTTAGAAATAGAAATAAACCCATTTCCTTGGAGTATACACCTAAAACTGAACTGGAGGATGAAAAGATGTAAAATATTTTAATGTTCTCACTCTTAACATAGTATTGCCAATTTGCTTTCTAGAACCATTTACAATGTATGAAAGTACATGATCTGATTTTTTTTAACGTTTTAATCATTTCATAGGCAAAACAGTATCATGTTTTAACTGGATAACTTGTTAGAATTTTTTCTTTTTTTCTTTTTTTTTGAGACAGAGTCTTGCTCTGTCACCCAGGCTGGAATGTAGTGGCACAATCTCAGCTCACTGCAACCTCCACCTCTGGGATTCAAGAGATTCTTGTGCCTCAGCCTCCCAAGTAGCTGAGGTTACAGGTGTGAGTCACCACGCCCAGCTAATGTTTTGTATTTTTAATAGAGACAGGGTTTCGCCATGTTGGCCAGGCTGGTCTCGAACTCCTGGTCTCAAGTGATCTGCCTGCCTCAGCCTCCCAAAGTTCTCAGATTACAGGCATGAGCCACCATGCTCAGTGAAAAAATTTTTTTCATTATTAATGATTCTAATTTCCTTTATGAATTGGCTATGGAGTTATCCACCAATCTCCATAAATTTTGTTAAAATACAACGTTACTTTCAGAGACCATAGTCATAGACTCAATTTTGAACTCCACTGGTAACACACTTTTTACTGCCTTAAAACCCTGGTTTCTAAATGTTTTAAAAAAGAAAAATTCACATTAATAGGTTAAAAATATTTACAAAAACAATTAGTAGTTTTTAACAGCCTTGAATAGAATAATGTCTGAAAATATACTACAAAATCCAGAAGGCACAAGAGGAATAAACAGACCAGTATAACTTCATTTTTTAAAGTTGATATGGTACCACCTTCTATAAAATAATTCCTCCTCACAGCAGTTTACATATGTATTTATTGTCAGTCTCCATGAGGGCAGTACCATTTGTCCTCAAAACTGAAAATATTGCCTGGAAAAAAAATAGGTGACTGAATAAAATTTGTTGAGTAGATGAATACTGAAAAACACAATGGGCCAGGCTTGGCAGCTCAAACATGTAATCTCAACACTTTGGAAGGCCAAGGGAGGGGGATCTCTTGAGGCCAAGAGTTCAAGTCCAGCCTAGGCAACATACCAAGATTCCATTTCTACAAAAGAATCAAAACAGCCAGGAGCAGTGGCATGCCCTGTAGTTCCAGCTACTCAGAGGAGGTTGAGGCAGGAGAACCACTTGTGTCCAGGAGTTCAAGACAGCAGTGAGCTATGATCATACACCACTATACTCCAGCCTGGAGGACAAAGGAAGATCTTGTCTCTAAAAACTAAAAAAAGGAAGGAAAAAAAAAGAAAAACACAATGGGGGCAGGGGAGAAACAAGTAATAAGCCAGAAAATTTGCAACCCATACAGTAATACAATAATAATGTATTCATTTTTTAAATACATTTTAATAAATCAGTAAACAAGTCATACAATACTAGAGAAATGGACAAAGAATGTACGTGACAAATCACAGGAAAAAATTCTAAGATGTACTAATCACCTAATTTACCATTAAAGAAATATAAAGTAAGCTCAAGTGAGCCATTTTTTATCTATCAAACCAGACATTATTAAATATCCAATCTTGGCCTGAGTTTGGGAAAATTAGCACCAAACATATTTGCAATGGAATGTTTCTTCACTGAAACACTGTTCAAAATAGCAAAACATAGAAACAATACAAATGGCCATCAATGGAGACTTGGCTTTAAAAGCTGATTTAAAATTTAAAAAAAGAAGTTAAAGACATAACAGATAAAAGGTACATGATTTAAGGTTGGAAAAGTTTTAGGATATGCTAAATGAAATACCAAGTCACAGAATGGTAAGCATAGTAAGATCTCTTTTTTGTTTTAAAAAAAAAAAACCTGTATCATACATATAAAGACAAAGGTATGAAGATATACACATCATATATATGTTTGTGTATATACAGATAGAAAGCTCTGCGTATGGATTTTATACAGAGAGAGAAAAGGCCCAAAAAAGATGCTTTCCAATCTATTAATAATTTTTTCTTTAGGAATGAAATTAAAGGAAACTTTTACTTTTTACTTCTCACATTCCCTATTTTAAATTTTGGGTACATATTACTTTCACAATTAAAAAACAGAATTTAAAAAAATCATTACATAAAAAGCACAATGCTGGCTCTACAACAATCAAAAAAGATTTCAGAACCATTTACATTTGTATTGTTTAAACATTCTTGCTGTTGGTACAAATAGAAAAGATGTCTTCAAACTTTAAGCTTTGTTTTTCTCGAAAAAATAAATAATAAAAAACACTAACACCACAAAACAGATTCCAATATATGTTGAAACAATCTAAAGGGTTTATAAGAAGTCAGGAATTGTACATATTTTACATACTAAAATATTTTCATACCTCTCTAATTTGCCGAAGCAATGCACTTTTGCCAGCAATTTCTTCTTTCTCTTGTTCTGAGGATAACCGTAAGTACTCTCTGGATCTATGTGGTTTAAGGTTCATCTTTGTATACAGTCTTTCTTGAAGACTATCAAATAATACATTCAAAGTTCGAGGCAGAATGCCCATATTTTCTTCTGTGCCTGCAAAAGGAATTTTTGTGTTGCACTTTCTCAGTCTACTAGGAAAGAGGAAACTTTCCTTGTTTATTAAAGCTCCTTTTATACTACCAATAGGCAAGAGTCAACAATTAAAACGAAAATGATAGAAGGTGAGGATTACTCAGTTTTCCATCACTTTGTTATTCACTGTAGGTAATTATCAACATTTTATTGACTATTATTCTGATGTAAACCTGAAATTTTACATTTAGATAATGCAACCATATTAAGATTTGTAATCACCCATAACCACAAACTATAAAAGTAAAATGAAATATAAAATTTCTTCTGGTCATTTATGCTTAATTCTCTGTATCACATCAATACTTTTTATGGATTTTAATCATCATCTAAATCTCTATCAATGGGTATTTTTACAAATGAATTAAATAAATTTGAATTAAAAGCCAATAGCAAGGCCAGGCATGGTGACGCTTGCCTGCAATCCAAGCACCTTGGGAGACCAGGGTGGGCAGATCACCTGAGGTCAGGAGTTTGAGACTAGCCTACCCAAAATGGTGAACCCTCATTTCTACAAAAATATAAAAATTAGCTTGGCAAAATATAAAAAACTGGTGGCGCACGCCTGTAGTCCCAGCCACTCGGGAAGCTCAGTAGCTGAGGCAGGAGAGTCGTTTGAACCCAGGAAGCAGAGGTTGCAGTGAGCCGAGATCACACCACTGCACGCCAGCCTGGGCAACAGAGTGAGACTGTCTCCAGAAAAAAAACCAACAGCAATACATAATCAATATGCTAGTACTATTAGAAATAGAGCAAACACATACTAGGTAATACCGACATAACTACATGTATGTATTATAAAAATACTGAGTGATTATTACTGCTTCCTTATCCTTTCCAACCAAAATAAAACAATATTTACCTTGAAATGTATATGTTTTTCCTGAATTGGTTAGCCCGTAAGTAAAAATCAGACGACTTTGTCCTCTCAAGAGGTCTTTTACTGGTTGCATAATGCAACCCTGAAAGAATTCCTTCTGTGTAGTTGCTGGGCCAAAAACCTAAGCAAGTATTTTTTAAAAACTATTTTTAGAAAATTCAAGTTAATATTAATAGTACGTTCCAACCCAACACACTGTTTAAAAATTTTAAAGATTCATTCTTAAAACAGGTGCCATATCCCCACTCCCACAAATACATTTGATAGTTTTACTACCAGAAAGTTTTCAAGATAGAAATCTGTACCAAGGAATCAAGTACTCACCTAAGTTTTGAAAAGAATATTTCTTAAAAATATATTAATAATAATTTTAACACTACAGTGATCTGTTTACATCCAATTATATATTTCCAGACCTGAGACTTGAGTCTTATCCTTAAGGAAAAAACACTAGAACCTAAAATCTAAGTTGCATAAGCACAAAATGTATAGTTCACTATATATAATTATATAGCAATTTAGCCTAAGCCAAGTCTCTTTATCTTTAAAACAAAAAACAAAAACACTTCAGTTTTACCTTGGAAAAACTGAATTTCTGGGCCATCTGCCCCAAGCTTTTCTCACTTAACCGACCAAGGATGCATTGAGGCTCTTTCAGCACAACAGTCTGTGAATCCAGAATATGCACACAGCCCTAGAATACATACCCCCAATAAATAAAAACTAGTATTTTGCCAATTTAAAAGAAAGTAAAATATTAAAATTCTATTAAATTCAACACAAACCTCAGACTCATGTTCTTTTTCTGACTGTGTAAATGGTCTTATTCGAAGACAAACCTGGAGATAATCTTTAGATTCGCAACTGTTTGCCTTAAAAAAATAAAGGAGAACAATATTGTGTTTTTGAAAGATATGGCTTTTCAGAGACCATCTTTCCTTAACATAGCTAATTTTTACATAATAATCTGAGACCATAAAGAATTTCTAAGCAGTCACTATCCGGCTTTTAATCATGTTAGAAAAACTCAACAAATCTATTTATATAAAAACAAAATACACCAAAAAAGATCCAATTTCCTCCATCTCCTGTATTTATACGTGAAGTTTACAAAAAGCCTTTATTCCACAAAAGCCTAATATAATTAATGAGGCCCTAAGTCATTGGAAAATATAACTCTAGAATAAATCAAAAGTAACTAGAATATTCTGTTATACAAATGCTCAATTCCATGAGGCATTCAGAATTTTTTTACTATGTACCATTCTCCTTGTTACTTTTTCTGAGGAAGAAACGTGCGTAGAAAATATAATTTTAAAGAAATGTTTTAACTTTAAAAAAAAATAAAATAAAAAGGAAACAACTACTTGACAAATGCAACTTAACCAAAACAAACATAACTAGAAAATCTGAATAACCCAATTTCTATTAAGCAAATTGAATCCATTTTCAAACTAAATAATGACACACACACAAAATCCAGGCCCTAGTAGTTTAATGGTAAATTCTATCAAACATTTAAGAAAATAATCAGCCCAGGAGTGGTGACTCACGCCTGTAATCCCAACGCTTTGGTAGGCTGAGGCAGGTGGATCACCTGAGGTCAGGAGTTCAAGACCAACCTGACCAACATGGAGAAACCCCATTTCAACTAAAAATACAAAATTAGCCAGGCATGGATTAGCCAGGCATGGTGGCGCATGCCAGTAATCCCAGCTGCTCGGGAGGATGAGGCAGGAGAATCGCTTGGCAACAAGAGCGAAACTCCAACTCAAAAAAGCCTGGGCAACAAGAGCGAAACTCCAACTCAAAAAAACCCCACACAAATTGTACATAAACTCTTTAACAAAATACAGGAAGAGAAAATATCTTAACTAATTTTGAGTTTGACATAACCTGAATAACACAACTGACAAAGATAGCCTCAGAAAAAAATTAGAAAACAAAATAGCACATTAAGATATACGCAAAATTTCCCACACAAAATACTAGCCAATATATAAAACAGGATAATAATATCTGACCAAGAATGGTTTATCCTAGGACTATAAAGTCAGTTTAACATTCAAAAATCAATCCAGGCAATTAACCATATTAAAAGAATAAATGAAGAGAAACTTTTATCTCTACAGATGGAAAAACAGCATTTGACAAAATCCAACGTCCATTTGTAATAAAAAATCTCAGCAGAGTGTAATGAATGCAAACTTACTCATCCTGATAAAGGGCACTTACAAAAAATCTATAGCTAACAACACACTTAACAGGAAAGACTCAATCTAAGATAAGTAGCAAAATGAGTAATAAGAAGATGATTTCTGCTTCCCCACTTCCAGTAACACTGTATTAAAGGTTCTAGCTGGTGTAGTTGGGCGTGAGAGGGGAAAGGAAATGGGGGAAGAAAAAAGGAGGGGTAAGGGAAAGAAAAAGAAAGGGAAGAGAAAAGGAAAGGAAAAAGGTAAAAGGGAAGGGAAGAAGAGAGAAAGAAAGACGGGGAGGGGAAAGAAGGGGAAAGAAAAGGAAAAGAAAAATGGAAGAAAAAAAAGGAAATGAAAAGACAAAAGTCATCCAAATTGGAAAGGAAAAAACAAAATTTTCTTTATTTAGAAACAACATGAACATATGCATACAAAATCCAACAAATCTACAAAAAATTAACGTATACTAACAGAATGCTAATCAGAGGTTACTTGGAGGTGTGATGGGAGGGAGGACTTACAAGGAGCCTCAAGGAAACTTTTGAGGGTAATGGATATACTCATTAGCTTGACTTTGGTGACAGTTACACAAGTGTATGCATATATCAAAACTTATCAAACTGCATATTTGAAATATATGCAGTTTTTCATTATGCCTAAATAAAGCAACTAAAAATATTATTTACAATAGCATCAAATAACATAAAATGTGTATAAATATATTTGACAAAAGACACGAAAGGCCTCTACACTGACAAGTAAAAAATACCGCTGAGACATTAAAGACCTAAATAAAATGAAGAATACCATGTTCATGGATTAAAACTCAATATTGTCAAGATGTTAATTCTCTCCAAATTGATCCACAGATTTAACGCAAACTCAATCAAAAATCCCAAGATGCTGCCTTGTACAAACTGGTAAGCTGATTCTAAAATTTATGAATATGCAAAGGACCTAGAAAAGCCAAAATTTTCCTAGAAAAGAAAAGCAAAATTGGAGAATTCACACTACCTAATTTCAAGAATCATTATAAACCTACAGAAATGGATGGTGTTGTGTTGGAATAAGGACAAATAGGTCAAAGGAAGAGAATAAAATCCAGAAATAGATACACATATACAGTCATTTGTAAAGGCACCAAAACAATGGGGAAAGTCTTTTCAATAGATAATGCTGAAAAAACTATTTATGTAGTTCAAAAAATGTATGGAAGCTAAAACGAAAAAGAAAAAAGTTAACCTGGGTCCCTGTATCAACTGCACACACAAACTGTTCAAAATGGACCATAGATATAACTACTCAAATGAAAACTATAAAATTTCTAGAAAAAGTAAGACAAAAACTTCGGGGAAGGCAAAAGTTTCTTAAAGAGAACACACACACACAAATTCACCAAAAAAGAAAAACAAATGTTAAATTGAATGCCTTTAAATTTTAAAACATCTGATCAAGACACTATTAACCTGACAAAGGATTTGTATACACAAAGATTTCTCACACAACACTAATGAAACAACCTAATTTAAATGGGAAAAAGACCTGAAGAGACACTTTACAAAGAAAGTAGAAAAATGGCCAAGAATACTTGAAAGAGTGCTCATTAGAGCAAACTAAAACCAAAACAGGATACCATTACACATCCACTAGAAATAAAGATTTACATTATCAAGTGTTGGCAAAGAGGTAGAAGCACTGGAACCTACACACATTGCTGGTGCTGGAACAGCCACTTTGAAAAACAGTTTTGTAGTTACTCATAAAGTTAAACTTACACAGTTTGTATTCCTAGGTATTTACCAAAGAAAAATGAAAACGCAAGTCCACAAAAAGGCTTGCACAAGAATGTTCAGAGCGGCATTACTTATAATGGCCTCAAACTGTAAACTACCTAAACGTCCATCAAATGATAAATGGAAATGTGGCATATCTGAACAACAGACAACTACTTAGCAATAAAAAGGAAAAAACTACGATATATGACGCATGACAAATCTCAAAAACGTCATGCCAATCCAGGAGTCAATAAATTTTCTCTGTAAAAAGCTAGATAGCTAATATTTTAGGTTCTAGACACCCTATAGTCTCTGTCACAACTACTCAACTCTGCCATGATAGTGCCACAACGGATGTAGTAAATAAATAAACCAAAAAGTACAATTGTGATGCAATAAAAATTTATTTATGGACAGTGATGTTTGAAATTCATATAACTTTTGTTATGTGATATTATTCCTATTTTGATTTTTCTTCCACTATTTAAAAATATAAAAACCATTCTTAGCTTGTATCTAAGTACAGAAACAGGTAATACAAAAATAGGCCATTGTTTGCCAACCCTTGCATTAGAAGGAGGCATGATAATCAACACAATACTTTTCTTGTACTTACCTCAGTGTTTGGAGCAACTAAGGAAAATTCATGAGACAGATCAAGCTTAATGCCATCAAAATTTATTTCTGAAGGCCTTGCAATTGGGTCAGCACTAAAAACATAAGATGGTCGAGGTACTCCCTCTTGATAAAAATTAGATTCCATTCTGCAAGAATAACAGTAACTTCTTTAACAACATTAGTAAGTCAGCATATAAACCACCCACACTTTCAAAAGTCTAGCCCACTACTTCCTCCCAAATAACTAGATTTTAGAAAGGAAAAGCATTACATTTCTTCATTTATAACACAATAGCCTACAGGAAAGACAAAAGATCAAATTATATTTACAGACTCTGAATCTAATAATACTGAACACAGCCTACTATTTTCATATAATATCCATTCAAAGAGGTTTCATGAGTACAGGTAATCTGTAAAGATGGTATAAAACGTTTACTCTCTCCCTGAAATCCTCTCAAAACTCAAATAGTAAGGAGATCACAGAGTAAATTATAATCTTGTGTTCTCTACTTAGTGACTCCTGTAGAATGTTACTTATAGACTTTCTTTTAGCATTTAGAAGTTAAAACACAGTTATCTGGGCCTGGCGTGGTGGCTCACACCTGTAATCCCAGCACTTTGGGAGGCCAAGGGGGTGGGGGTGGATCACAAGGCCAGGAGTTCAAGACCAGCCTAGTCAAGATGGTGAAACCCCATCTCTACTAAAAATACAAAATAATTAGCCAGTCGTGGTGCCGGGAGCCTGTAATCCCAGCTACTCGAGAGGCTGAGGCAGAGAATTGCTTGAACCCCAGATGTGGAGGTTGCAGTGAGTCGAGATCGCGC